CCCATTAGCTGGCTCTTATACACATCTAGATGTGGATAAGAGACAGGATATATATATACAGGGATTGATTTAGTACTAGTCTGTTATACAATGTCTAGTAAAAACTCCCATGAGTCAACCCCAGCTTGACACTCTAGTCTCACAATAGCCTATCTGAATGTGGGATCCCTGTCTAATATTATCACATCAGGGGAAACGGTACAGTACACTACATACCAGCTGACTACCCACATTATAAAACTACTATATAAACATAATAGGAAGCTATTAAGTATGCATTTTGGCATTTGGTAGAAGTAATATAAGCATGGACAGTCAAAAATGTGAGCCAAACAAAAAATCAACAAGCCACTTATGACACATTCATATGGTAATTGCCTGTTGGACAAAAAAAAGAGAGTAAAAAATTAATACTTCATATTTTGTATTTTTAAAGTTATTATTATACAATATGTACAGTATTCTAAAATTCCTATTTTTATGGCATATAAAAAATATAAATTAATACAATCATCTCTATACACTTTCTATGAGATTTCAATTAAAAAGTAGAAAAAGAAAATGTGTTTTCTCACTATCGACTGACACACAAGGCTTAGGAGAATATTCCTTTTCATTGCATTGGCCATTAAATTTGTTGGCTGTAATCAATTTAAAATGTAATGTTTGTAATAAATACAAACAAAGCTTTCAATTTGCGCGAATAAATTCACCTAGTGAAAAACGGCTTAGAATGAACAATTACATTTCTTAATAGAAATTTTTGAGGGTGTTTCACAATGTAAGGTAAAAAATAAGAGGTTCAAAATTAGTTATAAAAAAACACAAAATGTATTTCACTACAGTTCTGTTCACAAGATAAAACTATGTAGTCTAGTAATATACAGCCATTGGACACTCAAAATTCAACAACCACTCATAAAAAAACACCTTCATATTGTAGCCTAATCTAAGCCGAAGTAATTCTATTCAAAACAATTATGAACCAGATAGAATAAAACAGATAAACACAATATTATAAAGTACTGTCTATATTTATACTTTAATACAGCAGCTTGGTAAACTACTGCAAAGTATAAACTGGAGAGGCTATCTTGACCTTCAACCCCACAGTATTTGTTTTAATACAACATTCAAACTTACATACCATTATAAAATCTATTAATATTTGATATGTTGCACAGTAGGTTTACAGTATTTAAAACTTTCCTGTAACTGAATTCCTCATACTACTGTAGCAAAACAATTCATCGTGCAAAATTCTTCTTTGGAAATCCCCATGAATCAGCAAAAAATGAAAGTGGAAACTGGATAACTCGTACAGTAGATTTTGTGGTTACACTATAAATATGTGAATATTTTTACAATTATTGCTATGATTTTTTTTTAAAAATACTATCATTACTTTTATAGTTTCAGCTCATTTTTTTGTAATTGGAACACACTGAGAAATGTTTAGGAGCATTATCGTAATAGAAAGTGTCTTAATAATTATTCAATCGTTACATATACTGACCTCTGCACACCTGTTTTGAATTACTACATGTTACTACATGGAAAGCAAGTCTTTCGCATTTACTACAGTATGTCTAGTGTAGGCCTACAGTACCCATGGTGAAGTGACAAAGTGAAATATTAAATTGCATAATTAGCACAGCATCATTATGCAGATGGTCCTAATTAATTTTTTCCCTTTTTGGGAATTTATCTTTATGATAATATTATAATATTTTCGAAAAATTTAAGAGGTGCTTGCAGTAGCATAGTAGCATACTGTATCTACAGTAATAGTCTTGAAATTGGGGAGGGGGGCACCCAAAGCCTGAAAAATATTAACTAAAAAGCAAAAACTTCAACTTATAGATTTAAAACTAAAACAAAATCAAGAATCTAGGATTCAAAACAAAAAGGATGTTTCCATTTTCATTTATTTGCTTATTTCATTAAAATTAGTTTGTTTCATGTGAGCAGTGTTTAGTAAAGCAGACAACTATTCCTGCTTCATTAGAAACCTCGGAATTTAAAGGCAAATTGACCAATAATCAATAACTTTTGGGGGGGGGGTAAAGACACTCTATACTGATACTCTGCACTAATTAGTACAATGAAACAATTTCAAAATGAGAACCATTTGTTTTTATGTTTAAGTCATTACAACATTGAACTCAACACATTTGTTTTAATTTACAACAGTTGGGGAAGTTACTTGAATAAAGTGCATGAACATTTCAATGAGGGTATTAGTAATATACAAAATATTGACTCAATGGATTTGTCAAAAATCAAGTGTAAAGTATTTTGACAAATCAACATGCAACGAAGTGAGACAAAGTTGGCTAGGTTGTGAAGTGACGGTCAAGTGAAAATAAACTTTACACTCTGTATTATTTAGTACTGTATAAACAATCAAATGCCTTAATAGTAAAATCATTTGCTTACAAACCATATTCAATTAAAATAGCTTTAAGATAAAAAAGTGTAAATATAGGTTCATAAAATAAATTTCAATTATATGGCCTAGTTTAAAATTATAGTTAAAATGATATTAAACAAATACACAGCTAAAATCCACATGTCTAGAATAATGTTGGTAGATGAAAAAACATAATATTAAACATCAACTTGAAATTGAACGTCAAAATTATTCAACATGGCAGCTGTTTTATTACATTTTTATATAATTAAATTGTTACTGTTACTCTGATTAATGGATTACATTACTCTAATGCAGCTGTTCTAAACAATCATGTTTTAGGATGTTTAATTAGGTTTTTTTTAATAATAATTTTCTTCCGTGTTACTGTACATGTTTAGAATGTCATGACGCTGGTAGAGTATTACTAAAATAAAAATGCAAATCTATAGTGATAAAAAATAGCTGATAATGGATTAAACTACTGTAATGCAGCTGTTCAAAACAATCATGGTTTAGATGTTTAATTTGTGGCTTATAAATAAATTTCATGTTTAAAAGAATTATTTTCTTCTCAGTTGGAATGTTATGACACTGATAAATTAAAATAAAACGCAAGTCTATGGTACTAAATATAGCTGATCATATAGAGGATTATCATTATGAACATTTTAACACAAAATTTAATGACAAAAATAATTGATATTTTAGGTCCATCACAAATTTTGTCTGATATAAAGTCAGTCAGAATTAATAACAATAAAATATTACTTGGTAAAAGTAAGGTAAAGGTAGGACAATGACCCATAACTTGTAGCGTCATTGTGCTGAATTGCGTATGGCCGTGGTCCGTAACTACCTAGCAGCTGCAAATAGGTGCTTCATGGTGGCTACATGTTCACATCATTACACAATGACAAGGGCTGAAATGAACCATAACATCAGGGTAACCCCCTACTCTTCCGAAAGATGAAATGGGTTCTTTAAAGTGCACACGAGCCAGATGTATACACTGGGCCTCCATTTGAAGTCCTTATCGGAGAATATTTGGTTAGAACTACCAACCGAACCATGGGCGAGAAGCGACTGGAACCAGCTACTGTAGCGGCGCCCCTGCCTTACCGCTCGACTCGCCCAATTACTTCTAAAGAGATTTAAATACATAAACTTATTTTCTATCAAACGGATTTAAGTATTCAAAAACTAGCTTTCGCTGACAGTCTACAGGGCAGAAAAAACCCTAAAAAAACTTTGAAATAAAATTAATTTGTTACTAAATTTATATTTACTACTGTATACTCTCTGATATTTTATAAATTACTGTAGCTTACCTGTAATAATAAAATAAACCTCATTCTAGTTCTTTTAAATATTTCTATCATTCCTTAAAGTCAGACTCTGGAGGGAAAAATTTTTTGATATGTTGTAGAACTGATTTCTCCAAGACAGAAAAAAGTTGTTTGACGAAAAACTGTGGAACGGTGAACGAGCTACAGATTTTTAAATATTTAAAAACTGGGGGAAAAAGGGGCGTAACCACCCATTTTTACACCTTTTCCCCCCAGTTTTTAAATATTCAAAAATCTGTATCTCATTCACCGTTGCTCAGTTTTTCGTCAAACAACTTTTTTCTGTCTTAGAAAAATCAGTTCTAAAACATATCAAAAATGTTTTTTCCTCCGGAGCCTGACTTTAATTTAAGCATTATTGTTTTTAAATACAATAAAATATTTATTACTTCTACTTTTATAAAATGTTGATACTGTACTTCATGTGATGTACTTTGTGTAAATGCTTTCAATTTACTTTCTTGGATATCTTTCTTCTGCGTTGGAATTTAAATTCAAAGATAAACAGACATATGTCATAAGGAAAATAATGTACAGTACAGGCAGGAAATATCGCTTCGTATCTGCGCGTAACCACTCGTAAGCCTGCTCGTAGGTACCGTTTGGAACGTAGCTACGAACCACTACGAAGGTCATTGTTATTTTAATTAGCTTTGCAATGATCGTAGGCTGGATCGTCGGGCTGATAATCAATACGTAAACAATATTGAAATATAGTTTACCAGCTTTCAACACGTAAGCAATGTTGCAATTTACTAAATAAACAATGTTAGAACTTTATTGTTTTGTTATATCCTACCTTATTATTAAACGGATCATGTTTTAAAACTGTGTTTAGTTCGCTAGCTGGGTGGGTAACTAGTGGGCATTCAGTATGTTCGAATTTCGATGTCATTTAGGCTTACGTACGACCTACATTTTCCCCTATAGAGGAGGAGAGCAGACAGTAGTTATACAGGTAAACTTTCCAATTCGGAGAATTTTGCCCTGAGCTGATCAATTGGGATCCTCAGTACATACAATTAGAACATAAGTATAAAAATTAAACTTGATCTTTAACATAAACAAATTAATTAAATTAAAAGCAGGAAAAAAATTAATAATAAAAATCAGAAAAAAAGCAATATATAGGCCTACAGTATATAAATTATATAAAATAATGATTTAAGGAAAACATTAAAGCAAGGGGAAAAAAAAACTTGGTCTCTGATATAGACATTTGCTAATTTGGAACCACAGAAAATTGGTCTTTAATTGGAAGGGTCTTGGATTTGTAGGATGTGCCATGTTATTAGCCCTGTTCTGATTGGTCAGTTAAGACCCCCTGGATAGTTCTATTGTTGATCTTTCTTGACTCACCTATTTGCCTCTCCGTTGCAGCTTCTTCATCTGCGCTCGCCCTTGGTATAACGCCAGGATCGCTAAAACTAGTTCGGAGGAGTGTTGCAATCGTGAATACAAATAAGATAACGCCTACGACGGGAATGACTTCCGATACTTCTTTCCAGAGGTAAACACAACTGTGAACGAGACAGAATATAGCTGAATGAATTGAAATCCCTTTAATTTAAAACAAATTGGTAAATAGATGCCACTATGCCAGGGTCTAGTTCTTACTGCTAATCTTATTCATAGAAAACTGACCTTGCATGAACACATCTAAGTTTTTTTCTTACCTTAAACTCGCATTTTATTTATTTAATACAATTTTATGTTGACTTTCTCATCTGCTGGATTCTTTTACTTATAATTTGCTATGGCCCAATAAAAAAAATTATTAGTTTATCACCCACGCACACGTGTTCTATGGTACTGAAAAAAAAAAAAATTGGATTTTTTTTTCTCCATTTATTTATTTTTTTCATTTATTTTATTAAATAGTTAGTAGATATTGTATGCATTGTCTAAATCATGTTTTACTTTGAATATCAATGCACCAGCAAACCACACAAGGGTGATATTTGGCTTAGCAAAATAAAAAATTAGGCGAGAAATCCATCCGCGCATATTAGAAAACAAGGGCCTTTTTGACCTAATGTTAATGTAACATTGACCCTTGGTCTACCTCTCAATTATATAACCAATGGATATCACGCAGTAGTTACAATTCCGCACACATATTTTCCCAGCGATTTTCCACATAAATTTGTGCTAGACCTAGGCCTAATTTTCATTGTTACCTTCTGCTTAAATAATTAAATAATTTACTGTATGGTAATTGGTATGGTAGGCAATATAGTGAGACTTAAAAAAAACAGGAACATTTTTCCAACAAGGAGTTGTTTTCTTCATTGCATTGACAATCAAATGTCTAATAAACTTACTCAAATGCAAAGAAAAGTCCACAAGTAACGACAATAAGGCCAAGAGTTAAATAAAATATTCCTTTCTGACGTGCCATCATTATTCGGCCATCACAATAAAAGTGATTTCGTCCTGGAAAAACTTCCCACTTTCGCTTAGGCATCTCTAACGACACGTAATTGACTTGTTTGGTATCGGGGATCTGTGTTGACGGTACGACTTGACAAGCGAGAGCCTCTGGTGTCTGTTGGGTAGCTGATGATGGTGGGTGCGTCGCCGCCGAACCGTTACCACCAGCACCAATGTGGACTGCACTCATCGGTAGAAGAGAGGTAATAAGGGTAATAGAAATAATAAACGGTCGCTTGTAAATCTCTCATGGAAGTTGAATAATATATAATCTATTTTGAATGAGATAAAAATACAACTGAAATCCTTTACAGAGTATACACTCTATTCTCTTACGAGTTTCGTGGTGCCTACAAAAATGACAAATCAAAAGGAAAATACTTTTAGCAGAGATGCGCATGCGTAGTGAGTTTTTACGCGTAATTCCAACGATTATATAAATATTTATACTAATTGATTTTAATTTGAAAAATAACAAAGTCAAATAAATTATTATAAACTATTTAAAATAATTTTTTTATTAACAATACGTCTAAATATATATAAAAAAATACATTCAATTATCACATATTAGGATAGCGATTATCTACGTATCAAAGGTTAACAATATGTCAGCCCCCATGGACAAAAACAACTCTTCGGTTTCTGCAGAAGAACATAGAAATAACACAAGGCAGGATGAGAAATTTAATACATTTAAGAGTAAGAGTAACTTTAACAATACATTTTATTATCCTTATATCATTTAGAGAAAATTTTAAGTAAGTTTAAGTAAGCGACATTTATATCTTTATTCATTCAGTAGGCCTAAGGCTAAGGCTAAGCCAGTCCAGCCTACATAATCATACTGGTGGTGGTACTCTCACTGCAAAGACGACTAGGTTAGCCTAGGTCTACCTACATGGCCTACATACAGTACTTGCTAGGCCAAACAAAGGCATACTATGCCTAGGCTACTCACAGTTGGTACCACCTAAACTAGAGTAGTCCTAGGAAAGGACCCACTTAAGTATAGCCCTCCCTAGTAACTCTCTACTCCTGATGGTTGGAGACATGGTGGAGTTGTTTTTTCTGTAAAATTAAGAATGCTTTTTTAGTGCCTGAATCATTAAAAAAAAATGTTTTTTAATTAAAATTAACAATCTTGGAACAATTTTTTTAACTGTCTACTTTATTAAAATGGTTTTGTGAAATTTTTGATATTTTACTTTTATTTATAGTTTAATGTATATTTCATTATATTGAATTATTCACTTCCTTACTAGACATCATGTTTATGAGTAGCGTGGCAGGAGCGGCAATGGTATTTGGGTTTGGATTGACGATAGCCAGGGTTCGCAAGAAGGACCCAGCAATGTTTCAAGTATGTAACTCTCTGTAGTATGAAAGTTACAATTTTCTGTAAAGCATTGATACAAGCTCTAAGTAACAAATTCATAATTTACCAGAGTTTTTATTTGTTTCTGTTTTTACAAGTAATTGTTAAAGGTACATTTTAATGTAGTTTAATTATTAAAATTGTATGATTAATTGATTAGAAATTGCATCTTTGAAGATGCTATTCTAAAGCTGGTTAATCACTGTATGACCGTCGGCAGATAAATCCAACTCCACTGTCTGTGGGGCTAGACGACGAAACGCCGTCTGCTATTTGTTGACGGCAGTCTGAACGGATGGTCATTAAAAATGATCAGTTGCACAAACATTGTGGTGTTGCGTTCTATATAGATTAGCATCAGCCAACGACCGTCTGGCAGTCAGTGCCCAGATTAAATCACATATTCTTTTGTTTGCATGTTGTCATTTTGTTTTCCTTTTTTTTTTACCTTTTTGTTAATCAACTACAGAGGATTCTGCAGAATGCAGTTTATATAATGACACACAGTGGAAGCGCCAGGGGAGACGGACCTGGTCACTGTGTTGTTGCCACAATGAGGTATTGGGATTAAAAAGTCTAAAAAATTTATTTGCCGATTCAAATATTGTTATTTTGATTGCCAATCCCTAATATTGTGATCTAAAAGCAAAATTTGTACTAAGCCATAAAAATTCTCCCAGTGAACTCTACCAGGGAATTTTTATTACAGGACTCAGGCCCCGTGGTTCATCAGGAATAATACATATTTATGTATTATTCCTGATGATGCTTAAATGAAAGCGAAACGTAGAATAAAATGGCCTCAATTTTTGGAGTGACATTCATATTATTTGTACAGTACGTAAACTCAGAGCACATCTTTATGGGTACTTAACAAATTATACAATTGAAGCAGAATTTATATCGTTTTTAATTCCTCCATATTTATTCTGTGTTTATGACCAAAACTTTGTATAACATTCTCTTTCCATTGTATAACTTTGTATAACATTCTCTTTCCGTTGTAGACAAGACTGAGAGGTGAATCAGGAGAGGCACTAGAAAGTCCCAGTTCGCTGGGCCTGCGTGCCCTTGGCTGGGGAACTTTTTTTGCATGCTCTGGGTTTGGAATAATGACTCTGGGCATTTGTAAAATACTAGGTGTTAAAAATGTAAGTTTAATGCCATGTTTTTTGTTTGTGATCTATATACTAATTTTGTTATTAATGATCAAGTTATGTTTGTTATTATTATAGTCATCATATTTCGAAATGTGTTTATTTTTGCAGGTTGAAGAATTCAAAATCAAGTTTCAATCTGTTGCACCACAAATAAGACGTAATCCAGAGGACAGTACAAGCTTTGACGAGATCACAAATGAAGTTCTTGAAAAAGATAAAACTTGAATCTGATTGGTTAAACCACATGCAGTGTCACATGACTGGCAATGCCCTGTATACACATAATATACATGGCTGCTATGAAATGTACCAGGGGCGGATCCAGTAGGGAGACACGGGAGCACGTGCCCCTCCCACCTGTTTTGCCACTAAATTTTAAAAATTTCAATGCAAATCAATGTTATGTGTTACTCACCTATTCTGCCCATGTTTGAAAAATTCTGGATCCGCCCCTGTGTACGAAAAATTCTGGATCCGCCCTGTGTATGAAATGAAAAAAAAACATCTATATTAATATATCCTAGTGCCACCCAAGGGTACAACTGAAGTACCCAGTGGCGGATCCTGGAATTTGAAATAGAGGGGCCCAGGGAAGGATAGGGGTCAATACCACCTCAGTTGGGGCGGAGACAAGAAAATTTATGGCACCTAGATAGCCAGAAATTACACTTAACTTTGAATATAATTTCTTTTCTTTTTAAATATTTTTTTATAATTTCGAAAAGTTTGGGGGACCCTGGGCCCCCCTTGAATTGACCACTGGACCGTACCATTCACCTACAATGAAATGTTTATGTAGCGAATATTGTTCATATGCAGTGCAGTAAAACACCCATATTTTTTTCTGGATGTGCCCGATTATTACTATAATCATGATTGATCATATGATTTTCTTTAGAGTTTGTTTTATACTGTCTTATGGGAAACCTATTGGTGAACACCATGGTTTTTGGAGTCAAAATGTTAGAGGGTGGAAAAAATAAAAATTTGTTCTCTTATTTAGCACAGGTTTTGCCAAAAAGCATCCAGAGAAAATAAAAAAATTTTATTGGTGAATATAAACTATAATTATGGGATAGTTACCGTAAATGCTTTGAATTTATATACATTAGGAAGAAATATACATACATTATCGTATTCTTGGCGATTTCAAGGCAGTGGCTTGCATAAAAAAAATAAAGAAAATCTTTTATATCATTCTGAAATTTTCATTTTTTCGTGGCGGCAGGTACGATCATTGCCCAAAAAATATTCGAAATCATCATTGGTGGGCGACAGATTCGCTAAACAACGTATAAAAAAGTCTCACCTAATGTGTTGTGCAGTAAGAAGGCTTTTTATGAAATGGGTTATTGTGTTTCAAATTGTAATTTTTCAAATTCAAATTCTCTTATTAATTCTTTACAATACATTGGCAGCCAAAGCTGAATTGGAGCATTGTATAACAAGCTTTCCTACCAAATATAAAATACAATTTAGAAAGTTTTTTTTAAAGCTATTGTTACTACTGTTATTAATATTTTAATATATAATTTGTTTGCGACAAATGTATTGGTGGGAATGCACAGGCAAGATCTTTATATGACCTTGAGAGACGAGATTAAAAAAAATTATTTCTTGTATTTTTTATTAGTAATAATAAAAGTATCAATAATAAATAACTGTGATTACTATCCTCATAAGTAGTGTTGCTGCTGCTACTAGTTGTACTAAACTATGAGTTCTACTGTTGTCATCATGTATAACATCATCATCAACATTAATATTCAGAATTCAGACCTACATTGAAATAATAAATCTATACAAAACAAAACTTTTTTTTAAGAATTAAATATTTTATTGAGTACTAATATTCCACCATATTTGGATTTATCAGAGTATATAAATGTACAATTAAATCAATCCCAAAACCACATATAGAAAAAAAAAAAGTGACAAAAACATTTAATATTTCTTCATTACAATGGAAGGCAATGAATGTTCATGAACATATATAGTAAAAGTGTTTATTAGCATATCTAGGGGTGTGCGGGAGTTGGCGCACGATCCCCCCAAAAAAAACTCGTGCTCTCCAAAAATCATAGTCAAGTAGTTAAAAAGCACCTCAAATCACCTTATTTTGAGAGCTAGTTCCCCCTCGCCTAATCATTGAGCCTCCCCCACCTCACCTTCACACACCCATCAGCCCCCCATTACAAGAGACCTAGATGCGCTACTGTTTGATTAATTTGACATCATTAAACATTGTATTACCCTAATCCTTTGAATTAATATTATATTTTATTGAGTTATTAGCATTTCAGTATTCTTAATATTGTACTATCGGTCAAAATATTAGCTTCATCCACATCATTGTTAATATCATGCAAAAAAAACATTGTGATGTTAAACCTCATTAACATCCCTTTCTTTCAGTTGCAGTTTGAAGATTAAAATAGATAGCACCTAACTTAAGTTCCTTGTAACACACAAATTAAAATCTAAATATATGCACAATGATTTTATTATTACATAATAAATTATCAAGAATCTAATAAAAAATAATCTATTAATATTAAGCATCTTCCACACAAATATCATTGCACCCGTCACCTACAGTCTAACAAGGTTCTTAATAATAATAATAATACATTTTAAAAACAAATTGTTATGTAACTACACCAGTGCTGCTTTTATTAAGCCTATTTTTTTTTTGGTACCGAGTCCAGAACAGCTTAGCATTTAGCACTAGTTTATAGCATGGGTTTTGCAGTGCGTATCATCAAGATAAAACTCGCACAGCAGCCATGCCCCATTCAGGGGTCTTAGGGGGCCTACAAAATGCACAGGTAGTCCTCTTTGGACCAAGCAGCTATGTGAAAGTTAATCTAATAATATTACCATTCAAGGTCGTCATCAGATTACCAGGTTTTAAGGGGCACAAGGGTCTGTCCATGTCACTAAATTGAATTAGGACATGCATGGACAAACACCTGTAACATGCCCCCATTAAGTGCCACAGTAGCTGATAAACAACATAAATGTTTTACTATTAAGTTCATAAAAATGTGTGGGTAAAAATGTGTGGGTAATATTACACAAAAATAAGCATTTGATCTCAACACAATAATTTCTTATGATTCATTCTTGGGGTAAATAAAGGCAAGGAAACATTTGTAATATCTGCAACTGACTTTAAGTAATACCCTAGTTGACAATTGCTTTGTTCGCTCAAAGGGCCTGAACAAAACCTCAACCATAGCTGCTGTACAATATCAAGGAAAGCCCCATATCTCAGTCTTAGAAACACAGCTGTAGTGGAAAATATTAATGAAAAAGTTCTTAAGAATATATAGCTAGTATTAACTATAATTAACTAATAATGATTTATGTTAATAGTTAATTATTATTTTTTAGGGATATGCATAAGTAATTAATTAGAAGCAAAAGCCTAAGCACCAGAATAAGCACACACAAAAACAAAACATCAAGGAGGTATTTGAGTGTTGCCACAACAGTTGCCGCAGGGGTCGGGGAGGGAGTGCCCCGTTGAACGACCATGGCCCCCACCATCTGTCGTCTGAGGTCAAAGTTACTGTGATTGCAGTTCGTAATATTTTGGTCAGTACGCATTAGTGCAGCATCACAACAGAATAAAGCTCTGTCCAGACTATCAAATTTCATTTGACAAAAACATGTGACATGCCTAAATATGGTCATGATGACATCACATCATAACCATATATAGGCACATCATGACTATATATGGACATACAACAGTTTTTTGTCAAAAAATTTGATAGTGTGAACAGAGCTTAAGGCAAATTCAAATACAAAGAAAAAAAAATTAATATACATCTTTAAAATATATATCTGTAAAAAAGCCTAAAACTGAACACTGAGAATATGACTAGGGATTGATGAATCAGTAAGAGTAAAAAAATGGAATAAGACTTGAAAGCATAGAACTCGTGGCTTGTTTATAATTAAAATGTCATGATACTTACACCTATTAGCATGCAATCTTATTGCACTTCTACTAAAGAGTATAGAACTGCAAGAAGTACGACTCTCAGGGTTTTGTTGAAACGCCAATCCTACCTCGAAAAGCACTACCATGAACCAGAGGGCGTCCTTCAAAAGAATATAACAGGCGTTTGTGTTGAATGTGGAGCTGCATAGAACACAAGTTTCCAACTCTATTCACATTACAATATGGTGTCCCTATGTTGCGGTAGTACATTGTTTTTTGTTTTATTGCATGCAATGCAAAATGAATTCAGTCAGACTTCTTGCAATTCGATAATCTTTGATTCTACCTATCTGCAAAACATCAAAATTACAGTACAGAATGGGTAACCATGGGTACCCACTAACAAAAAAATAGACATGGTCTGGAAACAAAGTATTATATAAAACTGATAAGACAAGTGCGAATTATACTCTTATTCTACAGTGAAACACCTATAATATCCACCATTTCGCCCCCTTACTACAGGGGACATAGTGGCTACTGTGCAGGTGGTAAAATATAATACACCTGTATCAATCATAAGTGAAGTAATTAATTGGTCCTAATTAAGTAACTAGGAAGTTTTGTCTAGGCCCATGGGGACCCATGGCAGTCATAGTGGTGATTTGGACAGCACCTTGGAGGACAATCCCTTTGTAAATAATGTACTCTATTTGTTCATCAGCAATACTGGCTATGTTGTATATGGGACGAACGGCTTGACTGAGCGCTATAATTTATAGTTCACACGGACAACAGTTAGAAGGAACAGAACCAAAGACACAACAAACTTTGTGGTTCAGTGCACAACACTGGTTACAACCAGTTTTAACCAAATCAGTGCTTGTCTGCATCACTCTAAAATACGAGTTTACATCATTTACATGACAATGCAGGAGATCATTTCAAATCCATGATGCACTGTAACAAATCATTTTATGGGGATTGGAGAATAAATTTGTTATGATAATGAGAAAAACACCTTGAAAATCCAATTTGGGACCCGATTCCACCCCATTGACCCCAAATTGTGCGTACCCACCTTCAGCTGCATTGAAAAAAAATGCGACATTTTTATAAATGTAAATATTTGCCACCAGATAGAATGTCAACTATATATAAATTTCTATATACGAATTTCTCTAATTAATTTCATTTAATGTGAATAAACTTTCCATAGTAAATAGCACGCATTGAAATGAATATATGCAGTAATCCTTGTTTTCACTGTAGTGTTGTGAGTAGATAAAATGTGTTATGTGACATTAAATCATCGAATCCGAAAACAAAGCTTGTGCACAGAACGAACCAATGATCTTAAGACTGGAAGGCATGCGCTTGACCACTCAGTCATCATGATCTCATTTCAACATAAAACTTCAAATCAAATATTATCTGTAATTTCATTTCATGAAAGAGGAATTAGAAAATCTCGTTCTGTTAAGCGTTCAACATATTCTTTCGGTGTCGCACGTTGGTCCTCTTGTTTGCTTGATGGCGAGCTCTTCCTTATAGGTACGCTCTCTGTCGGCTCTTCCAATTGGCGCATATCGCAGATAGTATTAAAGAAAGGTAAGAGCTGCTCCAATGATTTGATCCGATACATACTAAGCAGAGGTCTTCCAGGAGTCCTCTTCAGGAATGACTTCTCTTGTTGACCAGCCTATGGCAAAAAGTATATAAGTATTTATAAATTAACTGATGAGTATGTCTGCCCTTTGGATATTACTCATAGCCTGAAATCTACCACATACATGGTTTTATTGTAACAGGATGATTTTTATTTTTATGGTGATTGATTTGACCGTTAGGTGGTTGGAATTGTCTGTTTACGGGAGCTGGTTTGTTTTCTACAGCCATTTTTTATCAATTTTGGCCCCAATGGTCACCCAAAAAAATCATGTTTCTGCCAGGATCACCTTTCAAATAATTTGTAAATTACCTTTTTACGATTATTCAGGATTTTAGCAACTCTAGTGATGTGTGGGGTGAAGTCTTTCTTGGAAACTCCTTCTTTTGTTCCTATGAATGCCCACTTGTAACTGTAAATGAAATAGAACACAAGTATTAATAATCATAATAATGATAATAAATAATAATAATATGGCAATCTTATATATTGCCATTATAACAAGAAGGCTTCTATGCGATTCTTATATTAACCGAGATCATTGGACAAACAAATATGGATCACATTCTCAGCTTCCTGAGAAAGTATTCTACAGTGGTGCAGCTACAGTAGTAATTATTCCATTATCCTTCTAACCAACTAGCACTGACATATAGAAGAGCTTAGAGGGCACACTCCCCCAATGCCCAAAAATGCCTGCACCAACCCCACATCAGCTATCCCCCCCCCTACTAGAAACTTAGGTAGGAAAAAAAAAAAAGAAAAAAAACACACTTAAAAACCCTCTGGCTGATTTATGATAACTTATTTTATGTGCCAAATTTCCAATAAATAAACAAGTGCTGTAAACTTACACTTGGAACTGTGGTAGCAAGTCAGTTGGCAAGGATAAAGCCAAGTCTAAGAATTTGCAGGCTGCCAGGTAACACCCAAGCCATTCTCTTGTTATACGAACTGGGCCATTTCCATTGCTGCCAAATATAGAGAACTCACCGCTGGGAACTCGCTTCATGTTAGATGATCTACCTTGTTCCTGTGCTGCCTTCAACTGCTCCTCCATATGCAAAAACACTTGCACCTAGTTAGTGAAAACAAACCAATAAGTGTAAGGTATATAAATTGAATTTAAATATTTTATCTATGAAAAATAAATAGTAATAAATTATTATCATTGATAAATACTTATTTATTATCCTTACTGCTAATAACTTAGTTTATCCTTCTAAATGAGTACAGGGTAATTCAATGTTTTAATTGAATTAATATCAAACAGAGCAATAACAAAAATGTAGAACCTTTTATGAAGTTTATATAGTTTTCAGGAAAAAACCTCTGCTTCATCACCAAAGCAATCAATCAATCATAGACTAACAACCAACTGACTGATTATGATATCACAAACAGAACACAATTGACCTTACCACCGTGTCAATCAAACTTAACTGATCGATCAGAACAAAGCTAGGAATATGCACGTGTCCTATAAACACACGTTTATGTACATTTTACGCTATTGTTCTGTACAAAATGACCTTAGGAAAATATCTGAAGTGCAGGGTTTGGCGCAGTGGGAAATGTTTGGTTTCCCAACCTCGGGGTCGGGGTTTCAATTCCCTCGCTGTGCATTTCGCTTGTGTCCTTGGGCAAGGCACTTTATCTACATTGCTTCTCTCCACTCAGGAGTATAAATGGGTACGTGGTAGGGTTAAATGCCACAAATGCGCTGATGTAACTGCTGCAACTTTATGGAACAGTTTGTGTTCCATAGGCATCTAATCCAATGACCGGGGGTAGTAATTAAAAGCGATTAGAGGCCTTGTTGGCATTAAGCGCTATATAAATATGACATATTATTATTTAGCAGAAGGTCCACTTAAAGCCATCAATATTTAAATGCTTGCGAGTGTTAAAAATGCAACTGAAAACTTACAAGCTCCGACATCATCGTCGGCCAGAGCCCCGTCAAATGATGCGGTGAAATCCTGAGAAGAAGAACTCTAAAACACATAAATACTTGCTCGTGGACGACAGGTACATTGACCAATCGCAGACACTCAGCGAGGCGCTCTTGTATATCTGGTAGCAGACGCACATATTGGTCCGTTTCGCTGCAGAAGAGCGTAAAGCATAGTCGCTTCAGTAGCTGCGCTCGCTGGTCCATCTCCTGCTCGCGACTTGTAAATAAATTTAGTGATGTGTTCTGTATTGCAGCAACACGACCTTAGAAAAAGATATCGTAAATACAAAAGCATAAGACTCAGGTTTATTAGTATTATTATTTATTTTTTGTTAATTTATCAAGAAATTATTATTGATATTATTACTAACTTCATTATTGTTATTATTATTGGTATTCTACAAGTATCATTTTTATTAATAATATCACTGCTATACTGTAATGAGCCAAATCTATTAAAAACCTATAATATATATTTATTTTATTTGAATCGTAATAATTTTTGTTTGTTTTTGTGTTCAACTTACCCATCAGATCTCTGAATGTAGTCTTGTCGTGTGTCATTAGGTTATCAACAATAGAGCGCCACCTATATTTATGCAACGAGAAATACATTCTTTTCTTATTCATCTTATTATAATTATAGCTTCCAAGACCAATTTAATTCTGAAAATAGAGATTAGAAACATTAAGTGTGGATATTAGATGCACTTACCCATTAGCACAAACTGCATCCATTTGAAAGAACGCTGGATCTAATAGCAATTCAAACGCATCTTTCTTCCAAGCTCTTCTTGTATACTGGTAGCCACTGAGGCTAGCAACAAGATTAGTACATGCACGGTAACTTGCAACATTCTGGGCACTGGAGATAAACATAATCGTATTTTTACATCCTTTATTAATATTATTTAATATGCTAAAGTAGAAATGAGTACCACTCAATAGGCTTACTCTCCTCAAACATGGAGTTTTATTCTATTCCAAGATTACGTCTTTGTACCCAAACACAATTTCACTCTAAGTGCATAATATAAAGACTTAGTTATAGTGCTTAAAAGGACCCAAATGACAACCTATCCACTTCCCAATCCTCATAGATTTAGTATTATGAACTCCATTAATAAGTTCATTACTTTTCAAGCCTCATACAGAGACTTGGTTACAGAGTATCAAGGTTTGTAAATAGTTGTAGAGTATTAAAGAACCCTAATAATAAGTTCATTACTTTTCACCCCTCATAAAGAAACTAGGAACAAGTAGAGTTCCAAATGATCAGCTCTCGACTCTCCAAACCTCATAAGAAACTTATAGAGGATAAAGGGTAAATATATAATTAGCTGGATTGGATTAGATATATTCAGTGTAACTACCAAGGATAGCCCATGAAAGTCTAGAAGAAGACTTATTTCAAGCGGGGTCCTCCTGGTGGTGGTTAGGCAGTACACCGGGAGATCCACTACAGTATTTTCCGAAGAGTGTACTGTGTTCTTTAACATGCACATGAGCCATAATGCACACAGGTCCAACGGCTTAAACATCTCATCCGAAAGACGGTGCCTATTGTAACTTGTGTTTTAGCCGTCCAGCTGAAACACAAGAAGAGGCAGCGATAGGAATTGAACTGGGGACCTAGAGATCTCCACAGTTTAGTGCACACACAGTGGCTACCACCAGATTAGCCAACTGAGCTAAGCTGCTCTCATAATGAGCACCAATCATCAAAATAAAAAATAATAAACATTTTACCTGTGGTTCCTTAGATATGGTGTGACATTATGCATGATCGATGTCAACAGAGGGAGCACTTTATCCTTCTCATCGCTACCATATACAAGATCGAGCAGGAGTGACAGTAACTGAGGATGGAATACATCCAACATTATTAATGATATTTTCAAATAACAACAATATTGAATGAATAATCTCTAAGAGTAATAAAATAGGCATGATTTGATAACACAATCAAAATGAGGCTGAGGTTCATCATCATCAACAACATCCACACTTAACATCATCAGATCAACAACATCAGCACCATTAATATAAACGTCATTATCAACACCATTAACAAAACCAACATTAACAAAGCCTTAATTAACATCAACATTAACAACATCAACAATAATATCAATACCATCAGATCAAACACCATTAGCATCATTTACAACATCAACACAATCAACATCATTAATATCAACAAAATCACCATTAACAACATCAACAACAGTATCAACAACATCCGCATCAACATAACAACAATATCAACAACAGCAGTAATAAATACATACCTCAGCAAGTATTGTGAGTGCATGCACACTGTACTGTGAATAAAGCTTGTTCTTAGCATTCACACTCGCTGTGTCCTTCAATGCATCGGCATCTTCACCATCAGTACCTGAGATAAAATTACAATGGTATAGTCCAGCGTACCCTCCAATTCAAAACACCCAAACAAAACAAAATTCAAGATTACATTTTTCAAAGAACCGAATAACACTTTTCAATCTTTTAACACACAGCTGACCCTCAAATTTAAAACCGTACCCCGAGATCATCCTAAATTTTCAGGTCCCAAAAATGGTCTCGAATTGGAGAGCGAACTGTAAATGCCTATTAAAGTGCACACAAATAGACAACATACAATACTCCAGTTATTACACCCAACACCCGTTAAAAATATTGGGGCTGCCTGTTGCAGACATTTAAAATTACAATTGATAAGCTCTGGTTCAATACTGTTGAAATAAAACAAAAAACAAAAAAAAAAACATTGTGAAATGTTAACTCTTTTGTAATCAGAATACACCAATTCAGCCACTGGCTGCGATTGTATTTTTAATTTGAGCAATAAAGATGCCAAGAATATAATATATATAATATACAATAGAACATTAAATATAGACTCATAATTGTTATAATTAGTTTGTAAAGCAGCCACTAATTCTTGTAATCTAAAGGGGCTGTGCTTCTTATTGCAAAATATCTGTGTTGTCCAGTAATTTTTGCTGCTCTTACCATCTCCAATGACATTTTTCTGCGGTTCGAATTTGACGGACACGTTCCTTCTAAGCCAGGTGGTTGGTTCAAGCGATGAACCAGCTATCACATTGCAGGCTTCAATTAGCTTTTGAGTAATGTCCTGCAGATCCCGAATATCTTTGCGTTCTTCAAACGGTGGGGCACGATGAACAAACTCATTTAAAATTCTAAACAGAAAGAGTTAAAATACAATACTACATTTATGCTGTGAAAATAGTAATAATATTTCATTAATAAGTTGTAGGAGTTTTGTTTGTCACACAGGTAAATTAATTTATTTTTGTGTGTTTGAAGTAATCAAACTATTGTCCCGATAAGGCACGATTCCCAATTTATTCAGATATATATTTTCAAATAAATGTACTCTTTCGAATTTGATATAGAGTAAAAAAAACCTTGCTGAGACAAGGGGCTCATATGGACTTCAGCTTATCCCCAGTTTCAAGTAGCGTGAAGCTAAGAGATTGTGATGCTCCCCCTGGGTGGGATGCTGGTCCACCACAGGATACTCCCAGCAATTTGTTGGTACCCATTGATACAGCTGGGTAGACTGAAGCAATGTAGATAAAGTGCCTTGCTCAAGGACACAAACGAAATGCACAGCGAAGGATTTAAACCCCGACCTTGAGGTTGGAAAACCAAACCATTTACACTGTGCCAAAACGTTTCCATGAGATTTTTTGATATGATCTTTGTTTTTTTAGCACTTTGAATGAGTCTCATTACAGGCTGAATCACCCTCTTAAACTGAGGTGCTTGTAAAACAGAAAAATATCCAAAAAATTGGTTACTGGTACCAAGTATCAACAGCGTGACCTAAAATCCAAGAACTCACCCAAAGAGCATAAACTGTCCAGGTGGTGAAAGTCCCAGCTGCAACCCATCTCGTAAGAGTGATAGTAAAGATGGCCATGAATCTCGTATCCCCATGACAGCAGACCGCTGTACATATGCGTACAAAAATTGGAGCATGCTCACTTCCAAAGATGGTTGGTTCTATCAGCAAAAATAGCAATTATACAATATCATTACAGGTATCAATACATTGCTTATTGTAATCTATCACATATCTATGTCAGATTGAAAGGTTCTAAAACCAAAAAGGCACGATAGATTTGTCAGTGAAAGAGAGAAGACAAACAACTTTAAAATTTGTTTGTAATATACGTACAACCTAGAATAGAAGGACCCTTGTATAGGCTTCTTATCTAGATGGTCTTCCTTTCGAATTATTTTTGCAAACTGAAGAGGGGGGGGGGCTTCTTTTCAAGATATGCTTCTCGAGATTAAGCCCATGGGGCTTCTATTCAAGGTTTCACAGCATAAAAATAAGGGATCAGTCAACACAGCATTTACCACATAAAAGACACAGCATTTTGAAGGAACATTTACCTTGTCCTTAATCGTGAATGGAGGTACTTTCAAAACCTGCTTAATTGTTTGTATCAAGGTGTCAGTAGGGAGGGCTCTGATAGCAGTGATCAAATCAACCAGAGTTAGCTGCTCATCACTTGCTTGAGGTAAGGCCTAGAGTTAAAAGAAAAGGCATTTGTTTTTAGTACACAGTGGCAATGTTGCTACTGATAATGATGAAGATGATGATGATGATAATGATGATGAAGATGACAGTAATGATTATGATAATGACAATAATAATACTTTGAATGAAAAGATATACAATATAAGCATTCACACATACAAGTAAAGTTGAATCATCAAAACTAACCTTCTTGGTAACAATTTTAGCCTTGTTTCTCAAATTACTCCACACAACCCCAATAGCTGCTAGTAGGTTTGTGTTGTGATGCAATGCAATCGGACTTAACAACTCTAAGATTTGTTGACGAACAGCCTACAAACAAACATTTCCAAAATACAGTATTAATAAGTTATCAATTTGGAGAATTAACCAGAAAAAGAAAAGTGCTTTCAATTGAATGGAGTGAATCAACCACTGCCCTAAGGTTGGATGCTAACCACTTACGGTATTTATTTGAATAAACACACAGGGGAATTTATTGTTTAGAAGAGTTTATGAGGGGCATTTATTCGAGGGAGGTGTGTATTCAATGGAGGCATTTATTTTGTTTGGTGTAAAATTGATACATATATACTCAAATAAACACCTCTTAATTTCACTGTAAAAATTGGAACTACAACACATAATTACCATCAAAATGTGTTATTGCATCTTTTTGATCCCAACCAGGTTAAAAGAAATTTAGTTCTATGAAAGCAGTTCTGTATGTATTTATGACTCATACCTTAGGTGATCCGATACTCCAGTCTGGCAGCTCACTTGGTTTGCTGATGTTTTCTCGTAGCCTCTCACACTGCTGGACTACGTTCCACAGAGTGGCTATGCTGGATACAATGCGAGGAAGCATCCCCAGTAGGCCCTTCCTGGCTTCATGCTTCGGATTGTGCGCTTGGGCTGGTTGGTTTGAGTTACCCTAGAAGAATATATGAATCCTATATTGTTTTCTGATGATAGTATTACATAAGTATTGATACATTGGATATTATTTGTCATGTCATGTTATATAAATTTACTTCAAAACACTGATTTGATTCTCCAACTAAATTATGTACAGTATAATGTAATGTCCAAGTAAATTTGATACAGCTATGCAGAACCATAGGCAATGTAATCAATAAGCTAGACAATACAATAATTACTAGACAAGCTTTCTATCCATCTGTATTGTTTCCAAACAGTAAAATGGAAAAGAAGAAATTAGACATACACTCAGGGTGATAATATAGGAGACAGGTGATTCTAATAAATATATTTAACGTTCGAGGAGTAAGTTCCACTTGGAAACTTAACATTTCCTGTCTTTATTCAGGTAAGTTTGACAAACAAATATAATACTAGCCTTCACAAAACTAGCATCAGTTACCAAAAAAAAACCAACTTTTTAATATATTCTTTTCCTACACATTGTATGCTATAAAATGATGGGTCATTTACTGGAATCGATTTACTTCTGCCAAAGTCAGTCCATGAAATTCGGGAAAAAATAGGTCTGGAAAAATTTGCCAACCTTAAACTCTCCGAGGTCGGCAGTCTCAGCGATTTTTTACTACCTAGGCCTATAGTATAAACTATAATTTTTCCGAACGCTTGACTTTACATTGTCATCTACAGATCGTGATTTTGTAAATTATCTCTATTAAATCACTATATTGTTCGTGAAAGAATGGTTGTACTTGTATAATTTTAATAATGTGGTATAATGTATATGTTTTACATAAGAAAATCGCAGAAGAAATGTCGTTTTAGCGTTCGTTTTAGCGTTATCTTTAGCATGGGAAATATCACTTTCATAAAAGCTATGATCGTATCAACACAGGCTACCAGTGCTTCCTGCATGTGCACTGCCCATGCATGTCCATCTGCATGTCCAGAACAATCTATATGGGATTTTCCACACATGTACTTGACAGATGCGATCGTGTTTGTGTTAAAGCGGACAGTAGGATTAGGCCTACAAAATGTTTAATTTGGTTGTTTTTAGATAACAAACAGCATTTTAAATACGATAATAATACTGTACAATGAAGACAAATAATAGATCTAGATAAGCATTACGATATACGCAGCCCACGTGGCTTCAATTGGGCGATGTGTTTTAGGCCTTGGCTGGCAGGTGTCACCCATTCCTACCAATCTACGAAATGACTAGGCCTAGCTAGGCGATAAAGACAAGCACACATAGTATGTATGCCTATTAAAAATTATTGTACAAACAAATCTGTTTCACAAAAAACCAATTTCCTTGGTTTGACGACGTACGTTAAATTTAGTTTCTGCTATAGCCTGTTTCAGTCAAAGTTTTGACTTTCCAAGCAGCTATTGAAGCAAAGAAATCTAGGCCTAGGCCAGTAAAAAAATTGCCGTCCTGTGGCAATTCTCGCTCGGCAATATGGTCGGTAATTGTCGATTGCTGACGTGAAATTCATGGGCTGCAAAGTTATGAGTAAAAGTATTATGCCTTCTTTGTACTAAAGTATACAATACTGCCACATTATTATGCTAATTACTCGATTTAACAATCAGCGACAATACGCTGGTTTTTGGGATGGCAAGCCTCACATAGAAGAAATACATTTCAAATAAATATATAAAAACCTTAGTTTTGTCTCTTGAGAAAGCACCAAATATGGATGAGAAAATCTGGTTATTTGAGTTGTTCTCCACTTCAGCAGGCCCAGTACCATGCCGTCCGCTCATGGTGGACAGATTGGCTGTAGATTCTAGCAGACTGTAGTGGCACATGGTGGTGAGCCCTTCTAAAATGGTGATCACATGATCAGGTGGCACGTTGCTCAACTCTTTAGAACTACCAAAAATATAGAAACAATATTTATTGATTGAGATCAAGAATATTTGTGATGTATAGTGACCTTAATTTTTTGGACTAGAATTAATATATAGAAGATAAAGATAAACAGTTAGCATTAGTAATTTAATATTCAATTTTAATTTAAAGACAAACTATTATTAAAATCTGTCCACACTAGAAAGTTTTCTGTGACAAATACTTGAATTTGCCCATATATGGTGTGATATTTGATCATCTTGATCATATACAGTATTGGCAAATTACAGATATCTGTCAAAGAAAAGATGACACTGACAAAAAATTCAGAAGCAGACAAGTACAGAATTGTAAACTACATAATTTGCCCGAAATTTTTACCAAAAATGTCACAGGTTCAACTAAATAAGCTTCTCTGGATGAATCACTTCAAAGCCCTATCCAGAATATCAAATTTATTCTACAAAAACATGTGACATGCCCAAATATGGTCATGATGACATCACATCATGACCATATATAGGCACATCATGACTATATATGGGCATACAACAGTTTTTTTGTTATAAGATTTGATAGTGTGGACAGAGCTTTAAATATGGCATTAAAAACAATTTCACAGACTCACATTTTCTTGTCATCAGAAATGTCGTAGAGCGATGCCAGCAGCTCTAGATTACGGCACAGTTGATTGGCCATCGGAACTGTTATCTTTGGTAAACCTTTATCCAAATATGGCAGTGCATCAGTAACCACGGTGATCCAATGACGATGCATATGGCAGATATGCTGCTGTCTCAAGGCACAAAGAATAGCGGTAAGCAGCATTCCTTGGCAACATAGCCTCTCCGAGCGCAGAAATGATAATGAAGATCCTCCTGGTCTTTGAACTCTGATGCGCTGGTCCCACTCGTTGGACTTGATAGGCGTAAGCGACTCTGTATCGTCCTTCAATGTGAACAGCTGGTCTTCAAGGACTATGATGATCAGGATGAGACGGAGAAGCTGCGACTGGAATGCTTGCGCACCTCCTTGACTATCTTGATTATCAAGCTCTTTTATCAGCTGAGAATCTCTCCATGCGTCTGTCTTCTTGTACTGCTTACGGCTGTTGAACACTGACGCTAACAGACAGTAAAGAACTGCCTTTTGGACTTTACATCGTTGTAGTAAGTCACTAATGAAAGTGGCAAACCCCCGGCCATTCATTTTTACCACCTCAACTAACTCATTGAGAATACGCCTAAGAATATCCATACTGGCTATCTGAACGTCTCGATTTCCTGTCACATCATGCTCCGATGCTTTTGAATCTTTGGGATAGTAACTACGTATGAAGTACACACAAATGGAGAGCACTATATCAAGGTATGTACTGCTACGGAATGAAGAAATAGAGTCCTGAGCAACCTCTGAGAAAAAATCTCTTCCCATAATGCTAGTTTTGTGTCTGGCAAGGAGGTGCTGCAGTCGTATCAATTGTGTTGTGTTAGCGCTGCTCAGACTCGTGGATGACATTGCGCAGACAAACGGTCGTGGGTTCGTTGTAAGCACGGATTTGAGGAGCGATAAAACATATAATGATCTCTGTGCATCAAAAACCTGAACGTAGAGAAGAATATGATGTTGTAGTGCGTTAAGAGTTGACTGGTTTGCACTCTGACGCATTGCCGCTGAACGCCCTTTCTTTGGACTCCAATCCTTCTTTGGGGAATCGGGGTCTCCATCAGTCTCCATTCCAGACAGCACTCCTTCAAGGTCATCGATAAACGTATCATCAGAAAAAACTGTCTCCAATGGAGGAATTGCTTTAGATCTTCCGGATTTGTTTGCCTTTGGTGTTCCTAGTTTCTTTCCCTCACCCCATTCACTTGTTTCATCGTCACTGCTGGAACTATCGTCAACTTGCAGAACAACTTGATCAATAATGGCCTCCAAGACGTCTTGAACGATTTCTTCAATTGACTCTGTGGCATCTTCATTGAAAACATAGGATTGCTCAGCCTCTACCAGGTTTGACATGCTACCGATACCAGTCAGATCACAAGTTGAAAAGCTAAGATTGCGATCAAAGTCACTGTTAAAGCTATCAGGGGTGGTGCTTCTTTTATCAAACTGTCCCCCTTTGCTGGAGGGGGTGACAGGCTCACTTTCAGAGTCACTAAAAGAGGCATGACTCATTGGATTAACTGTAAGCTTTAGAGGTTTTGTCAGCGTTTCAGAAGGAACCTCATACCGCATTTCTGGGTTAACCCTTGTAATGCATTGGAATTCCTCACCGATTGTCGTACATGCAAATATAGGGTCACCCCTTTCGGGTGGTATGAAGACCGGTTTTTTCCCGTCCTTCGTAACGTGGTAGGTTACCTCTCCATTCACACCGCTGATGCTACAGATCTTGGCTTCAATGTCATCGACCTTCTCTTGAGGTTTTGTGATTCTTCCTTTCTTCTGGGAATGGGTTAAGAGGAATTGTACAGATACTCGAGAGGTTTTTGGATCCAGGAGTATTAATAGTACTGGTTCCAGTAGGCGGGCAATATCTCCACGCTCAATTGCATGAGCAAGCCATGTTTGCGTGACAGATCGTATGACACTGTCTTGATGTTGAAGACTATCCAACATAACCAATAAAGATCTGTGGAAAAGAAAAACATCAGCTGGTCAAGGTGGTGCCATGGCCTAGTGGATGAGATATTTACCTTTCTATCATAGGGTTCTGGGTTCAAACCCTGGAAACATTAATATTTCATTCTCATGACTAAAATCAAGTCTACTCCTTTAGTCTCTTGTGTGTTGTTAATAAGTCACACTTGAATGAGAAAAAAATAATTAAAAAACCCTAATTGATTTATTGTTTGCATTGAACATAAATAATCCTTCATATGTTTTACACTTAACCACATGAATAAACATGGTTTAATGAACAAACATGAATTAATGAACAAATACGAACTAACTTGAATAAAGTAACAAACTCAAGGTGACGAACCTGTCAAAAGTTTTGATACCGCTAGCTGGGCTTGAGTTTAGAATCTGAGGTCGAATGAGGTGCCACAGCAATGCAAAACGGTTATGAGCTTCTAGAGATATTGTCTGAAAACAACAATGATCAATACCAATTAACTACAAGGAATATTTTGCACATTAATTTATAATTTCAAATCAATCAAACATTATGGATAATATTTTTGTTTCTCTACAATTGTAATTTATTCATACTTTTACCATTTAGATCAGGAATGTACAATTGATTGGCCTGTTAATTTTCACCATTGCATCCAGAATAATAATAATAAAAAAATGCTTTACTCACTCTATTTGAATGCACCAGAGAATGGCCAATCACGTCCTCACATAGATACACATCAGGTGTTGAATTATGCAAATGATGTAATAGCTCTGCACTCTTATGGTGGCGCTCTGGTGTCTTAGAATTCATATGTCTCCATAGATTCACAGCAACTCTCTTTATTTTTTTTTATTAAACAAAAACAAATTTGTCATAAACAAAACATACAACAAAGCAAGCAAAGACCTATTGTACATTACTTCTCAGGAAGAATAAACAAATAATAATTAATGAGACTACTAGAGTAGTTGTAAAATGGCAACAACCGTTTTCTATTCCCCAACACCTGGGCTCAATCCCAACAAAAACCAGTGCTCTATATACACCAAGAACTGAATACTGGGAAATTGTTAGTCAGCCTGACCACAATAAATAAGTGCTAACATATTGCATAACATTCTTCTTGAAGAATACATGACTGGACTTAAGGGTGTAGAACACAAGGTTCCCTAGCCTCCTTGGTTAACCACCTCCATTTATGTCTTCTTTTCACCAGTTCCTCTGCTTCAGGGAGTGGAAGTTGAACAAACAAAAAATTAAAAAGAATATTTTCAACAAAATGCAAACACTATTAAACATTTACCTGGAAGAAACTTGATTCATAACTCAGGCATTCAAGATGGCTAACGGCTATTGCTGGGATTAGCACCACAGACACTGTACCACTCTGGCTCCCAGGAGTGGTTGGCGGAGTGGGCAGAACGAGTTTATTACTTGTACCGGACGTGACGGAACGGGTGAGACCGATGAGTTCAAGGAGTGTGCCTACTGCTGTGCTCTGATGGTTCACGTTCGTAATAAAACATGCTGTCGTGATTAATGTTTGTAGCCAATCGGGTAATTGATCCAAGGCTCCTGAAAAGATCGATGTAAAGTTAGCTACCATGTGACCAACTTTGAGATTAATCATGTGACCAACCACAATACTAATCATGTGACCAAACAAAACATCTGTCCAACAGTAGAATATTATTTTAACAACAGAATTCAATCATATGCAACAGTGAAAGTGTTTTGGCGCAGAGAGAACGGTTTGGTTTCCCAACCTCAAGGTCAGGGTTTCAATCCTTTGCTGTGTATTTTGCTCGTGTCTTTGAGCAATGCATTTTATTATAAGGGGGTACCTGAGTAGGTTTGAGTGCAGAATGCACTAATACATTTATTAATAGAGGCATTGTTCCTATGACTGGAATAATAATGTTGAAAAGTGCTCTGACACTTAGTTCTAGAGCACTATATAAAAAACCTACATATTATTATTATTATTAACACAACAGTAATTATGTAATGGTACTAACAATAACAACAATAATATTATGTGGGTTGTATTTTGTTATAAGTGGAATATTTTCCTTCCTATTTTTCCGTCCTTTGTTGAGTAAATTTTATTACATATTTTTTGTATTATGAGCATTAGTCCAATATTATTATTTTGTGTTTTACTGTAATTTTGTATAATAAGAAGAAATAAATAAATGATGTTAAGATGCCTGCCTTCTTCTCCATGGTCCTAGGTTCAAATCCTACAAACATCAGAATTTTTGTTGAGACTTATTTTATAAATCACACAAAAGGTAAATTCCAACCTTTAAAGCAAGTCAATCGCTGCTGCATAACAATGTAAATTTTTAATTATAATTTTTTTTAATAACTAATATCAGTCTATAAAAATAACAATAACATGACAAAAATAATTATGTTGAAACTGAATATAATTTCATGAGGTAATCTGATAGATTAACTTCATCTAAATATGCAAAAATAAAATTATATACACATTATAGACTTAAAAGTAGAGATTACATTTTAGAGAAATTGAGTTGAAGTAGGATTCCAGACTGCAGAAATCAATATTTGACCCGTTACTCCAACAAATAGCATTGTAACAATACCAAATATTTGTTAGTTATTGATTCATAGTGTAAATACAATTACACCTCTGAACCTTAACTACCACTACTGTAGGTCTGTTTCTGTAATATCTGCCTGTGCTCTGTAACTAGCATCCATATTTATTCAAATAAACAGGGAATTTTTGTGTAAAATGAATACATTTATACTAAAATAAATGCAATTTAGCTTTATTGTAAATGTGAATGTAAATGACTTATTGATCCCAACCAGGTTAGAAAAAATGTTCTACTGGAATAGAACATTAATAGAAAGTGTTGAGAATGATTGGTTTTGTTTACAGTCACTTAGGAGAGCTTATTTGAGGGAGTCATTTATTCCAAATAAGGCTCTGTATGCAGCGTATATTCGAGGAGGATGCTTATTCAAATTGGGGCATTTATTCAAATAAATACAGTATTGAATTATTTCCTAGGTAGTAGTACTTGGTCTGTTAAATACCTGGCTGGCATGTATATAGTATAATTTGTTCTCATAATATCTTCCTCTGAACACTACCGCGATTTGTTTAATAAATACCAGTAAATAAATGCATACAACATCATTTGTTTAATGTAATGTACAGTATTACATAATTTTACAATACCTTTTCCTTTTGGAGTACGTAGCGTTGATGCAAGCGTGGAATCGTTGCAGTACATTGGGAAACAGGTGTATTCTACCAGTAGATGACAGGCAATGGAGAAGGCCTCATGTATCTTATCTGACCTATCACAGTCTAGAGTTACATCATCTACAAGAATAAAACATACACTAAAGACCATGATAACAACATAACATGCTACTATATTCACACCAAGTTATGATTAGATGATCAATAATTAGTGGCAGGGTATCCTGAATTAAGTGTGTGTGTGTGAGTGATCATGTTAATATTCGCGTCTAACACCGAACTGGGTTAACTCTGAAGACATATTTCCAGTATTATCATAAAACCTAAAATAGAAGCCCAATGGGCTTAATCTTGAGAAGAAGCCCATCTCAAATTGAAGCCCCCTCTTTAGTTTGTAAAAGTAGCCTCGAAAAAAAGCCCATGGACCTTTTTTCAACACAGCATGGGCTTAATTTATAAAGAAGTTCAGGTGATTTAACGCCAGTTAATACACTGCACCATACAGTTTGATGTTACAGTGGGTCTATTTATTGTTTTACAGTAGTAATTCCTAAATTTACAGCATTCATTTTGAAGCCCAGGGCAAGTTTTACGGTATTCTGAACTAGACTTCTGTATGGCAGGTATGTCTCTATGTTCTATTGAAGGTATAAATATTGTCTGGAATAATGAAAATTACAGTACTGTAATCAGCTTTAGAGTGTAATAGGCCTTACACTAAACCTCAAAGATATTGTTACTGAAGTCCCACAAAAGAACAGCGTAATCATGCGTCTTGGTAAATTTGTCTTAGTTTAATATATAGCAAAATATTTTAATAAGCCGCAAGTAACTCGCCAAAGTGAGTTAGAGTTTCTTCTTAAAATAATTGAGGCACACTTACTTAAATATTTTTGAGTAGACTGGTCAGACATCAAATTGGCATCCACCTTACGCTTCCCATCATCCCTAATAACAATTCCTATCAAGTACCGTTCTTCTTCCTCTTTCTTTTTCTTTTCTAGAAAATTTCTCTCTTCTATTTCTAGTTTCTTCATCATAGCCTGCCTGTTTTCTTCTATTTCTTTCTCTCTGTCAAGATCGACCTTTGAAGTTTGACGTTTTAGCATAGGAAGTGCTCGTTCTTTGATGCTGTCGGCTTTCTTCTTAAGGCTGTTTTTCTTTTGGACCTTTTCTGGTGAGCTAGATTTCTTCCTAATTACTCCATCTGATTTCTCTCCTTTTCTTTCGGTAGCTTCCCTTCTTCTTTGAACTTGTTCCCTCGCTCTAGTTTGCTTTGCTTCTGTTTCTTTCAGCCTTTGCACATTATCTTTGTGTTCCCGTCTGCAGATTTCTTTCTTTATCTTACTTTCACCAAAGTAGCTGCGTGAAACCCGTAGCTTTTCCATGTATATTGCCAAATCCGGATTGGGTAGAACTCTTGATCCTACAAATTTTGCAAAAAAAGACTGGAAGCACTGGACGCATGCTTGCATGAGGAACACTGGTGGTGTTTTTTCATTTTCTGAGCAGCTATTTTCAGACGACAAACTCAGCTGAGATAAACCTCGAGAAGATCGCACTTCAATCTGTGAAGTTGAATCGGAACTTGTATCGCTTGTGAACGACAATGAATGAACCTTATCCATCGGTTTTTCGTCATCTTCGTGATCTTCTGACACCAGTCGGTCTAGCGACTTCACGGATGAGGGTAATCCAGGAAGTTGTCTGCTAGAAATATCACCATTCACCTGACGTTCTGGGGGATCCCTTCCGAGGTATCCATTTGATTTTGCCTGATTATCGGTTATTCTCATGTCTTCTTCAGTGAGGGGCGAGGTCACCATTGATGGTTGCACCTTGGTCAGTAGTTTATTGCACAGCTGTAGACTACTCTTCAACTCCTCGGGACTCAAATATTCACAGTAGTTTGTCATGGACATGGTCACTTTACACAGCAATTGCGGCAAATGTTCAGTTGGTATCTCAACATATGCTTCCTGAAATACAATTAAAAATGTAAAAAAGTTTATTACTTTGCAAAAATAAGAATAAACGTTCCTTGTAGTTATGAAACTTGTTTATAAGGAAACATACTTAATTAAATTCTTGACAAATACAAAAGTGAACATTTCTCTATGAATAGTACAATAATAAGTGGAAAGTAAAAAACAAAGCTTAAAAATTGTTAATTAATTTATTTAATTAGTATTCAACAATGAATATAAATTAAGATGTGCGATCAACAATGAATATAATTTAAGATATGCAATTAAAAAAATATTAATACAGTTAAACAATTAATTTACTTTTTACCAATAACTATATCAATCAATGTACAGTATATGAACAAATAATATATTTGTGAGAACAGGTTAATTAATATTATAAAGGAAAAACACAGACTAATGCCTTACCCACACTGAATTTGACAAAAACAAGTGACAGGCCTAAATAGTTTTAAGTTTTCCTGAAGTTTTACAGTTTGTTAAGTTAATGGTAGACTTATAGTACTGTTTCATTTGCTTTTAAATTTGTTAATTTTAATTTTTTTAATTTTTAGCAACTTTTGTTAAAACAAGTTTTCCAGTTTTGAAATAAATATAAACTAATGTACATAATGTGTATGTAGAGTATAGTCGATAATTTCACATCATGACTATATAATGTATATAATAATGTGTATGTAGAGTATAGTCGATAACTTCACATCATGACTATATGGCCATACAACAGTTTTTTTAAATATTAATACTAATAGTAATTAATAACTAATAAATAACTTATTAACACATAATAATAATCTATAACTAAAATAATAACAATTAACCATAACGATCATATTTTTGGAAACATGACAATCAGTCTTATAATAATACTCGATAATGCATGGCATTTTTAGAAAATAGATAAAATAAAAGAATACTCGATAATGCATGGCATTTTTAGAAAATAGATTTTTTTAAAAAGCAGTTTGAAATCTAAAGCATTTCACAAAACAACATCCCATGTGTAAACCATGCTTTATGACTTTTCCTCCTAATTCATAATTCACTCATATTTCCTGCGTTTCAATCATTGGTGCAAATGCACAATATGTTGTCACGTTTCCTTTCAATGAAAGTTTTCAAATCGAATCATACATGGAGATTAAATTAGGTCATGCATGACTGATTATTGAGTAAAAATTCACATTCCCTCACAGGAGAAAAGACAAGAGTCCTATTGTTAGAAATATTTGTATAATTATTACAAATAACAATAATATTAATTGTAAGTTGCAGAAATGTTTGTACAAATTGATACAGTTTTTAAATTGAAGAATTTTGTTATAAACAATACTAATTAATGTTACTGTACTTTACCAGTTCGTAAAAAAATAATGTTAATAATAATATTATTATAAACTACTGCATCATATTAAGCAGTTAGTTGAAAATTGACAATTCCAAAATATTAAGATGATAATAATAATAATAATAATAATAATAATAATAATAATAATAATAATAATAATAATAATAATAATAATATTGCATGTAAGCTGTTTAGTGAAACAATTTGTTTCTAAACCTCAAGGTTGGGGTTTCAATTTCTCACTGTGCATTTTGCTTGTGTTCTTCAGCAAGGTACTTCCCCCTCCCCCATCCTTCTTCAGTCCACCCAGGGTGCATGGTGGGGTTATCTGCTGTAGCCTGTAGTTGACTGTTATTGAACCAATATGGCAGCAACACCTAGCATGTTGACCCAAATAAGCCAGATAGAAGAACACTTTGTACAGAAAGGAAAGGCACTAAAATGCTCACTAAAATCATAACAAAAAATAATAGAATAATGATGTTGGATGGATGGATTTATTCGGTGTAAACACAAAGAACAACCCAGAGAAGTCTAAAGACGACTTATTTCCAGTGGGGTACTTGTGCCGATGATAAGGCAATACACAAGGAAACAATCCCCTACTCTTTTCCAAATAATGTACTGCGTTTTCTAATGTGCACACAGGCCATAATGCACACGGGACCAACGGTTTAAACGTCTCATTTCAAAGACGGTGCACTATCTAACTTGCATTTCAGCCCTCCAGCTGAAAAACCAAAAAGAGCAGCGATATGAATCGAACCAGGAACCTAGAAATCTCCACAGTTTAGTGCACACACAGTGGCTACCACCAGTTTAGCCGACTGAGTTTTATCTGTAAAGTACATACATACGTCTTGTAAACTGCAAAAAAAACTTTGAAAATGCTGAAATGTGTAAAAAAAAAAAAAATTTAATATCTCATGCTGAAGAAGCTTAATGTTCATTGATTTAAACCAAAAACAATGCAAATATGCTCTTACCAAAGAGACAATGTCCAGCAAAAATTCTACGAGCATACAAAGCTCTGATATTGTCACTTTTGATTCGTCTTGTGGCTGCTCTATTTCTTCCTCTAAAACTTTCTGTTGACAGCACAAATCAAATCGTTTGGCCACATATTCCCACATGAAGTACGGCTCAAACGTTCCAAATAATAAATTTGCAGTTTTTATCAATTCCTGAGGACGAACGCCATCGGAAAGCAGTAGATTGCCAATCTTGGTCACATGGTTTTGAGGTTTTTTTTCTAAAACCTGTTGAATTGCAATCTCATGGCATCGGTTGTATAGTGCACGGAATACTTCCATATAAATTTCATCAATGATGGGGGTGGTAACCTCTGGCTTGTCCAACAAACTAATCAAAATGCGGTAAGGCCGAAGTAAGCCGAGTTTACGCCGACTCGGCGTGTCGTCGGCAAGTGCAGTGACCTCTAAGTCAGCATGCAGGCAGTTTTTTAATGCTTGAATGAGCAAGTCTTTTGAATGTTTTTCGAAATATTCCGTCGATGGGTCTTCGTCAGTGCTAACCGCACTATCGGAACGCGACACAGGTGGAACTTGTTTTTTACCTCCAACCGTGCCATTCATACTGATACCAAGAAACCATGCATAGAGCCTACGATTCAACGACATGTCACGACGTAGTAGTACATTTAATGCAGACGTCATCATCTTGACAATTTCGTTTTGCTGAATGGATGTTGTGTTAAGAGGGAAGCAGAGGAGCAGAAGATCTAATGCACTTCTTTGAACTAATACCACTGCATCTTCCAATGACTCACTAATTGCTTGTACCTAAAAAAAATAATAAAACACAAGTTAAAAGATACTTTCTTAACCCATGCTTTCTAATAACAAAGGCACATAATTATAAATGTAACAAATATGAAGACATTGCCAACAATGTTAAAGGTTTAATATAAATGTACATCTGCTTGAAATTTGTCTCTAGGGGAATATTCTCCAAAGATACTGAATCGAGTAAATAATATTTAAATAATAAACGATGTAAAACGTATTAGAAACAAATTGGCGAGCTGGCACTGACCAGCAGCTATGCCGTTTGGAACACCAGACAGTCTAAGTGGATGAATTGTCAATACTTGTAATACAAAATATTTTGCTCTCTATATGTATAATTATTTACAAAAATAATGTTTAATGTTTATTGAACACTTTTAATCTTTGTTGTTCCTTAGTGATACCCTGCATGTGCTTGATAAAGCCACGACCTGAGTTTTATGTCACATTCTTTTTGTTGTTTTTTGAATAAAGAGTGATTCTAGAGTTTATAATAACTTGTTCAATAATTTATTCCTAAATTATAAAATATATATAGTACTTAAAGCACTTCAAAATCAACAGAAAGTAAATGCCACTGACACAATCCCAACAGAAAAGCAAACATAACACTTTAAAGTGGACTAATTTCTAAAAATAGCTTCACTTTTATAAAGCATAATGATTAAGGTAAGCTTATACTTTCTAAAGTGGCATTACTCAAGTCAAATTGTATCTGCTTTCAAATTTTGTTTTTTTGCACAGGTAATTTGCCAATCACTAAGCCTTTTATGATTCAATCTGTACTGTAGAGCAAATAAAATATTGAATATGATTGTAAATCACAGTGGAACATTTGTCAAGGAAAACGGACCTTTCACTATCGACCATCCATGAACTGGAACGAACTACATAGTAACATAACTAGGGATTTCCAGAATTTAAATCAAAATACCTTTAAAAATGCTCTAAAATAATTAATCTCCCTATTTTGTAATTAATCTTTTTTGTTAAAATTTCCTTATATTTTCCTTTTCATTTTATCACTTTTGTATTGTTTATGTTATAACTGGACCACAGCGAAAACCAGTGTATTTGCATTGAGCGTGCCATCCAGTATAAAGAAAGTTGAATGAATAAATAAATAAATAAATATAGAGAAGATATTAAGCAGGATTTTTAAAAGTTTATACTGAAAATATTTGATTCTATTCCAGTGCATATCGTTTCATACTATTATAATATTATTTACTTATATTATTATTTATTTAAAATTAAAAAGTACAATTGCTTAAATATAAAATATAAATAATTAAATATAATTTTTTTTTCCAATACAAAATTAAGTAGAGATTCACTATGAAATCTCAGGACAAAAAATAAATATAAACTGTATTATACTATGGTGATCTATCCAGTATTACAATAAAAAAATTTCATTCTTAAAAATCAGTAATTATGCTTGACTTTAATGCATTGAAATTAATGGATAAACTATAAACTAGTCATACAGTGTCCCTGACATACAGTGCACTGCCATTTGACAATATAGTAATTATATGGACTTGTGGATATGACATCAACGTTACAATTATTCTAAATTATGTGGCAAGGTATTATTACAGTAAGGTATTAGACGTGAAACATAGCAAAATTCATTTTATACATTTATTTCATTTCAAATGTGAGGAAGAACAGTTTAGATTAAAGTCAATATTATGGACATGGTAATTAAGCGTTGGAGCAGCGATTGGGATTTTGGGCTGTTAACCTTGACGTCAGGCTTTTGAATAGACCTCAATAATATTATTTATGGTTCACAAAGTACAGTTGGTACATATAAGGCCAAATTAAATAAAATTACTTGTTTAGCTTCACACCTCAATAAACATTTAGGTGTGAAGGAAATTTTTGTTTTGTTTTTTGGGGGTTTTTTTTCAATCTACAGTAACAGTAATCTATGAATCCGTCTCTAGCAGTGCCATGCTTAGACACAACTGAAAAGTTGCATAGGCTCCAAACTCACACATTCCCACTGAGCAAGATCCTATATTTGTACTTTACTTTTCAGCATCATGAACAAAGCAATCAAAACAAAGAATTTTTTTTCCAAAAATTAAATATTTTCAATTTTATTCAGAAAATAAAAGTGTTAAAATTAATCGTTTTCAATAGGCCTACAATACATAATACACCTGGTTGGTGAAATCATTGTTTTAATTCAATTCAATAAAAATAGGCCTATACTTATTTTTATTAGCATTTCCTGGACAATAATTACTTTATTGAAATTAAATAACAAATTCCCTCTCATAAATTTTTAAGTTTTGCTTGAAAATTCAGGTGGGGTGGGGGTGGTGACGCTAAACAAGTATATATCTTTTTAATTGGCGTAAGTTCAAATACTGTACGCTGATTATTAGCTCCAACATTATGCAATACTCCCCAGGGAGAGTATTTTTTCTATTATGTGTGATCCAATGACCAGAGTGTTTGTCATATTGTAAAGTGCATAGAGGCTATGACATACTACATTGTATTATGTAAGATTGAATATATTACAATATTATGTGACCTGCTGGATATTGATCAGAACTCTTTAACAATGAATTTTGCTTTCAACAATGAAGAATACTCCTAAACAGACGAAAAGGAGAAATTAATAGGAGAAAGAAATCTATTTGGTATAAAGGTTTTAAATTCTAGAGAAACTATTAATCATATTTAATCAATGCTCTAGTTAAATTAAATCTCATCAACAAGATCGCTATCAGCAGTTACAGTATGTTATCATCTGTGCAGGTTTGAATCTCTCTCCTTGATCAGGGTTCAAGTAACTACAGTAGACCCAAGTCTTCTTGTACAAGTACTCCAAACTGGAGCCCAGCGTACACAACTTGTAAGAACCAAAAATACTATTTTAGGGCATTGGTAAGAACACTACTACATTTAATTCTTTAGATTACTTTATTGTACAGTAGGTTTATCAATGGTGTATCAAACATTCTATAAAATGTTTTTAAGAAAACACATTAACATTGTTAATCTATTTTAATGCAAAAAAACGAAAGGAAAATTATATTCCCATGAAGAGCAAATTCACTCTCTGATCCATTATTTCATTTTCACCATGACTGTATTTGTTTAATATTAAGAAGTTTCATATTGTTTTTCTATTCTTGTAACAATTTTATTCTTAAGAACTTGAATTTTTGTTTCGTAGTTAAAGATTTTAATGTGTTTGTACCATATCCTTATCATGTAAGGTCACCAGTTGACCTCAACTGAGACGTTAAGTCTAAAAAAGAAATTAATACATAAAAATGCTTAAAGAGCACTATTCAGGTTACAGTATATCCATATTGTAAGTAGTGGGTTACCTAATGAGTATGAAATAAAAAAATTGTGTTTATAATTTTTTCAGGTTTAAATAGTTGCTGCTGTCATTAATAAAAACCCTCTCTCATTTAAGTAAAATATAAAAGTTATTAACTTCCAAGAATATAAACAGATACAGTATATTTTCAATGATTTACAGCTCTTTTTCTACAAAAAAAACTTATAACCAGACAATTTAATGGCCAATGCAGGAAACGTTTTTGTATGTAGAACTGCTTTTTAAAATTTATATGAATTAAGCACCCCAAATATATATATTTTTTCAGCTATTACACAGACAGTATAAACCTTTCAATGTCATTATAGTTCTTTTCAAAACATTTATGAAAAGCCTTGCATTTACTTTGAGTTGAGCACTGTAATTTTTTTTCCAAAGTATTGGTTTATAATAACAAGCTAAGACTCCTTCTCATAACAAACTCCTGACAAAAATAAACACAGCGCAAACAGCAGACATTATGAACTATGTGTAAGTATTATAATGACATACTCTACCAAATCTGCCATATGTACAGTACTGTTTATACTGTACTATGTAAATAGCATATGGATAGCATAGTCCTTTGAATAATTCAATACAGTATGACTGAAGCTCTGTCCAGATTATCAAATTTTCTTTGACAAAAAACTGTTGTATGCCCATATATAGTCCTGATGTGCCTATATATGGTGATGATGTGATGTCATCATGACCATATTTAGGCATGTCACATGCTTTTGTCAAATAAATTTTGATAGTCTGGACAGAGCCTAACACACTTATTTATTATTGTTTGTTCACACTAATATGTTTTCTATGACAATTATCCACTGATCTCTATTATAATGGCTGGATTGCTCATTGGCTGGTTTTAGGGAAGCCACTGACACCATGTTGGGGAGCCCAAAACGTCACAAATGTCATCATCACAGCGCAAAACTTTTGGAACAGTGTGATGATCGCCAACAACGCAACATCGCTTGTGGTTTTGTAAACGGCACAATAGGGGTATTGAGTGGTTAGAGGATACGAAAAAAAACACATTTTAGTAGAACTTAAATTTATTATTTGTAAGTATTGCAAGAATCATTATTTTTAACAATAATTTAAACAAATGCTAACAAAAACTTGTCTAGACTGGTAAATAGCCAATGAGCAATCCAACTATAGAGATCTGTGCAAATATCTGTTGTTTATACTTTACATGGGCATCACACCATTTACAGTATGGGCAAATTTGTATGTATTTGTCACATAAAAAAGTTACTGGGTGGAATAGGATATGCCATTTAAAAGCCATGGCTAAAATATTTGCAGCGTTTCAGCAAGTACTGTATGTTAGCGATATTGGCTAAAAAAATTATTATATATATTATGTATGAAAATGTTTGTATAAGTGTAATAAAACACTTTCTGCCACTGGTTGCTGTTTTGTTTACATTTTATATCAAATAAATAAATAAAATAAAAACACATTTGATCACTCATATTCACTTTCTATATTCCTGATTCCATTATCTTTTATAATCACCTATTACTATGATCAATACACTTATAATAATACAAATCATTTAATACCTTTCAGCTATAAGGGTACTAACCACTACAATCAATAATGATTCAATAATCCTCATGACCAAACTCACCATTTTAAATGAATTAGAACCCATCATATACGGCTGCTCTAGAAATGAGATTTTACGGTCCACTTGGGAAAGGGCAAATGTTATCGCTTGCAGGCGGACTCCAGGGCTCATCAGAACGCAATCCCACAATGCTGAGTAGAATGATGCTTTATCCATTCCTGAACAGAGCTGTTCCAACAGCTTTTGAGTTCTGTGGAGAGGTATATTTTAAATCATTTATGCTAATTTTACTTCCTGATGGAAGAAAAATTAAATGCAAAATACCATGGAGCAGGAAATGAATAGAAATCATAAATTAAATACAAAAGATAATACTTAATAGTATAGAAATATGCTTCCTCTTCAGAAACTGGAACATTGTCATTCTTTATATAGGATGAACATAAACAATGGCCAGAGGAAGAATTAAGTTTCATCCAATATCGGTTTTGTATCAAACATTGTACTGTAGATATGGAAGTCATTGCATTTAAAAATTTACAAAAAAAATCTATTCAAGTATAGTTGAAGACTGGCGGTATTATTGAGATCACTTGAAAAAGCAGCACTATGCAAATGAGTAAACAACAAAGCTGACGCAGCGCATGAAGAACGTTTACGCGATAACTTTGAAGTCTAATGTGTTCCCTATCAACAAAATGCTCAGCATGCTTAGTTTACCAAAGAATTGAACATGGTGAATCACAATGGCTGCGCAATTGTTTCCACCTTGAAACGGATACATTTATCTTTCAAGAAATACCAAACATATTAATATTTTCTACAAAAGAGAGTTTCGAATTTGATGAAACATTTACATCAGCTTTAAAAGTATGGTATGTTTCAACTACACCTTCCATAAATTGGATAAAACTCGATAATTCTAATTTAAGCAGTATATTAATTAAGGAATGATTGAGGATTATAATAAAGTAAGTCATTTTAGTGTGAACGAGTGTGAAATTTGAATCCAAATTCAGAGTAATTTTCAGTTTTACACTGCCCTACTGTAGCTTTATAGTTGAACCAATCGATCTTTAGGCAAAATTATAATGAACAGAGAAGTAACTGTAACAGAAACATTTTGCGAAATAGTGTCAGAACTGCTGTGTTGAAGCGTATTAACGGATGTCGTTGCCAAATTGTTGCTAACAAAAAAATTATTATAAGATAATACGCCCGCATGTGATCCAAAGGTAGGGAACACATTGGTTTGTCGCGTCAAAGGGATCTGTTGCCGAGTGATCTCCTTCTCAATATACCTCCATGGTTGAAGTAGGAAAGCAAATAAAATTTTGGAAAATATCATCTCATTATAATAAATAAAATAACATAAAACAATCAATTTTTAATACAAAAATTATGATACTATTATACCAACCTTAAGTAATATTCAGAGCCCTCTTCTAGGCCTGGCAGGATTCCTTGTAGAAGGCCTGTAAGAGCAGGCTTTAGGTGCTCCCCTAGAGGCAGGTAATATTCCTCATACAGGCTAAGCAAAGCCGGCTTTACAGACATTGCTGCATTGCCTAGCAGAGGGAATATACCGGCGCTGTATATAAACATGTCCTGGCATAAAGTCTGCTGTGGAATTATCTTGAATATCAGTTCGTAGGTTTCCAGGGCTTTCAGATGTACGCCGCTCGGAAGTGCAGGATGGGTACATTGCGCAAGTCGTTTGCCAATCGTTAGGCGCTTCGGAATCACATGGAAACGGGAGCTATTTAATTGTAGAGCCTGTAGTATAATAAAAAAAGTATGTTTAGTATTTCTTCTAATTCAAATATAGCAAAAAACTGTTGTATGCCCATATTTAGTCACAATGTCCCTAAATTTATTTATTTTATTTCTTTCAAATTTATTCTAAGAGGGTAACCCTTACAGCTGAACTCGCAGGCCAGCTGATATCCAGGGGCCCTCTTTAAAATGACAACAAATGTAAAACGATACTTAATCTACAAATGTAATATAAGTATCTACTATAAAAATATTAAATAAACAAATTTTAACATTTCAAAGACAAAATATGCATTAGGGGATTAAATATGGTCATTATGTGATGTCATCATGACTATATTCGGGCATGTTTAAATGTTTTTGTCAAATAATATTTGATAGACTTGCCTAGACTTAGAGTACACATAAATAAAACACAATACAATATTACACCAAACTGCAAGCAATGTAAACATCTTTATGTTGCTATGCATGTAAATTGTAATTATAAAACTATGTAGTATGTCTTTGATAAAAGAAAGGATAGATTCTGGAGGTAAAGTTCATATTCAATAACTCAAGTGCTTCCTGGAATTAATTGTATGAAGTAAACAAATTAAAAATATTTATTGAAGGTTTGCATGGCGAGTATCAATAAACATATAACAAACTTTCGGTACACCATGTGTAAATAAAATAAAAGAATATTAAATCATCATGTTTTGTATTTGTAAGTGATAATCTAGTCAGTATTATGCTGTACTCAAATTCATTGATTCTACTGTATAGCCTGATATAGTTCATTCTCCTTTGTTATCATTCATTATAAAATCAGCATTATTATTATTCAATGTTTATAATTTAATCAATGATTAATTTGTGGAAAGTGATGCCACTTCAGACCATTGACTGTTTATCGAGGCTTGGGTGGAGTACAGTACGAGGTCAGAACTGGTTATTTGTGACACTCCCAGGCCTCCCTTGTCTTAATCTTTGTAAAAAAAAAAAGGGGGGATGAATACCAGGGGCCTAGATTTTTTAATAAAGAAATATATGGCTGGTTCACACAGGAGTTTAGGAAATAACACTGGTTGATTGTGAGTGACTGGCTAAATTGAGACAGAATTAAAGAAAACTACTGACACAAATGCATGCACGTTACACACTCCGACTCGTTTCAACAGCCACAATGCGAGATATCAGTTGAGTGACTTATCTGTAGCCTAAAAAGTTCATCATTTGAGTCACTAGATGTTATTTATGAGGTATAAGGGGAGGGGGGCTGGATCGAGTGCTGATCATTTGGGGCCCTTTACATTAAATCTGTCCATGAGGCTAGGGGTTATAGAGCTGAAATTTTGGAACCCTTGATGTCCATTAATGGGACTTGAAAGGTTGGAGATAATATGTGATCGGAGTCATATCGCTCTGCTCCTAAAAAAACCTTGCATGAGCATTGGACGGGATAAGGGGCAATGTATCCATTATATGTACTGGCACTGCACTGTGGCTGCTGTGGGTCCCCAGGGGCTCAGCCAAAATTTCCAATTTCAAATATTTGGAATTATAGAAAAAAAGAAAATTTATTCTCTTAAACTTATTTATAAATAAACTTATAAAATCGGAGGACAGGAAGGACTAAAAACACTTGACCCCTTTAGAAGTTTACATCTTCCTAAACAGTAGATTTCTCAAATATGTTATACTGTAGCAAATATAAATCAATATACAGTACAATGTGTTTCACTGACCATTAATCTATCCTAAAAGGCTCATTAGGAATGCTGTCATGACGCACTTTGTTATGCATGAATGCATCTGATTCAAATTATCATTTTTTGGCATAAATTTTATGACATCAAGTAATAATAAAAATAATAATAATAATAATAATAATAATAATAATAATAATAATAATAATAATAATAATAATAATAATTCTTTATTTTGGCCTTGTATGTATGCCTACACACTAGGAAAAATTTGGGCTGGGTCCACAGGGACCCGCGGCAACTATTAGTTCAGCGCCAACTACCCGACTATACTACAAATTCAAACAGATACAGACTGGTAAAAACGTGGTCCTTAACTAACTCTCCTGAGGGGGTTATTCGAGGAGCTGAGCATTTTTGTTAAAAAGACCCGAATTCAATACTTGATGCAAAGCCCGGTATCGAACCCAGGCCCTGCGTGCAATAGGCAGGAACCACACCAAATATCCAAATGCTCAGCGTTAGCCAAAACACTCAGTGAGAAAAAATCATTGTATTTTCTCAACGGCGAACTAAACCATTAACATTTTATTTATTTATCATTTTTCAAATAATTATCATGTAATCTTACCCTATTTAGTTTTCCGAGGGCAGAAATAAGATCAGCCCATTCGCTGGAGTATTCAAATCCTTTCAGAGCTTTCTCAACTGCTGATGAATAAGTCTTAAACTTTGGGTCTTGTAGCAGGTCAGCCTCATCTAGATTCATCTTGAGAATTCTCGCGGGATTTCATGTGCAACCAATTATTGCGAGTGCAAACATCACTAAGCCAGTTCCTCCTGATCCATCAAGCTCTGCAATCAATAACTAAAATGAAGAAAAAAATACACAGAATTCTATATAAAGACATCAGTATTTGAAATATAAGAAAGTTTTTGAAAAAAAATTATTTGTTTCTTACAAAGAACCATGGTTCCAACAAGTTAAAAGACATGAAAATAATTCAGTTTTTACTTATTTAAAATGGAAGGGGATGTTTCAAGATGTGATTGGCTTCATTAGATCGACAAAACTTGTTAAAAACATTGTTCACAAACATGATAGGAGTATTTTTGAAACATAACACGTTTCTTCCTTACAGATTTCTTCAGTACTTAATTGAAAAATACATATTTAAATAATCTATGACGTTTAGTGCGCTTAGTGTTCTAAAAGTTTTACGGATGAAATATAGGCCTAGATCCCCGATATTTAACCTCACTGTAGCTTACTATATCTATCTAGTGTCTTGCCATGGGGGAGAGGAGACGGGTTGGTGATTCTTGTCCTAATGGCAAATGTGGAAGAGGGAGACTGATGGGGATAAATAATTAAGTGCAGAGGGAATCATTGATATGATGTATGCCTAACCAATAGTGGCCCTTAGCGGTGGATCCGTGGAACAGGCTCGTAGGCATGTTGTTCTGTTGAAAACACTGCTTTGATGTGTCTTTACAGTCTGAATATGTCATTTCCGGATATCTAGAGGTGTTTATTTTTAAAAATTGCTCACCTCAGCCCTAACCATGGTTGAGCTGAGGTAAATCGACGTAAATCAAGGGAAAGGGAATCTGACTCCCCGTCGCGAACTTTTTTGCGCTGACATCTTCTTTTAACATAGATAGTACATAAGGATTTATTTTTTGGAAAATTTCTAGTGGTGGAAGGGTAGGAGATTTTTTGTATCCTCCACCTTTCCCTATGCCAACTGCATTAACTCATTTTTACAAAACAAGGCTTATCTTTGATGATGTCGAAAAACCAAGGCTAATAATAGGCCTATTAGGAAGACTTGTAAACCTATAAAGTGGGTGGGGTGACATTAAAAAAATTGGAAGTAACAAATGTCGGCCCGCCGGTGGTCTCAATAGATTAAAACTGGCTCTCAGGTTAAAAAGGTTGAATACCAGGAGCCTGGATTTTTGAATAAAGAAATATATGGCTGGTTCACACAGGAGTTAAGGAAATAAAACTGGTTGATTGTGAGTGACTGGCTAAATTGAGACAAAATTAAAGAAAACTACTGACACAAATGTGTGCACGTTACACACTCCTACTTGTTTCAACAGCCACAATGTGAGATATCAGTTGAGGATTTTCTTTTTCAAATCAAAGTATGGGCTGGCGAACTGTTAAACCCTTTGTAATTTAAAACCGTTAGAGAACTACATGCCAAGCCAAATACAGTGTGTAAACAACTTTATAATGTAATTGGGAATGTAATTTAATCACGTACTGAAACCATCAGGCACACATTCCATTCTTAGAGAATGTATTGGTTATGTATTAATGATCGAATAATCACATCTCTCAAAGAAGCACTGCTCTTGAATAAACGCTGCATACAAACATACTTCCCTATTAAAGATACATTTTAATGCAGCGCTTAAATAAGAGGACATATTACTTTAGGAGTCATGACAAATGACAAATGGGTTCTACCAGGTATCTATTAATGTGAAATTGTTTTCTTGAGAAAGTGGCAAGTGTTTCTAACCGACTATAGACTCTTCCATTCTGGGGGAGGGATACGAGATGTGCTAGTTAGTTAACTACAATTTAGAGCAGTGACAGTTATGAGATTTTTTTTTTCACAACATCCGCCCTTTCTTCTTAAACTTAAAAAAGGGTAAAAATGTAAAGGTGTCGATCAGCGATTTACAGTACGTTAGTCTACAAAGTACAGCATGACCTCAGCGACAAAGTTATGTAGGCCCTATTATTCAAATATAAAGTTCAAAATCTGGCCTACTGTAGCAATCATTGATTATTTTGATGTATGGTACAAGTATTCATTGTTAATGTGTGCTTGGCAGATGTACTGCATATATTAGCACGGTAATCCTTGATTAATGATGAAGCAATTGAATTGAATTGAAAGAGCAACAGGAAACAAGCTTTCAATATGTAGGCTTACTGTACACTACAGAGAAAGGAGTACAGATCAGCCTGCTAAGACTTGAGCTGTACTGTACAGTCAGGTAGTAGATTCTTGAAGATCCTAAAATCCAGTATGTCATTTTTTAAGGGGGATACTTGGATGCAGGTAATACCTTTATGAGCGATTACTGCGAGGCCCCTCTTATTAGAAACCTTAGAATCGAGAAGGTGATTACTTGGTCACATCTTGCGACAAAACACAAACAATCCTACAAACCTACAGTAGCAATCAACTTCTACTTTATGAAGACCATCACCAGAAAATTGTATGCTACAGTAGTCCATAGTAATTGAGGAAAAACTGTTTCACTATAAAGTGATGGACTAAAATGATTGACAGAATTTATAAAAAATAATTTACAATTGACATCTTAATAAAACTTTTAATAATAAAACCCATATTCTAACCCCTCTGTGACGCCCTAAAAGTTAATAACCCACTACTCTAATTTGATAACCAATGGGGTTACTGTTAAGCTTGGTTCCAAAGAATCGCTACAGCATTTTCACTTCATGCAATCCAATGCAATCAGGAAAGCTCCCTGATTAAACTGACCAATCAGCGTCACCGAAGGAGACAGTGATAGCGTGTAGCGATTTTATGTAAACAGGGCCTTAGCGTGACCAAAACTATAGACAAAATAACATTAAAATCAATTTGTGTCGCTTTACACAATTTATTCCTTAAATAATACAACAGGCATTCTTCACAATGTTATTGCACAATTGATGATCTTTTCTCAAATTTATAAATAAAATTAAATCAACAAAGTTTTATTACTCGTACTGTAATAATTTATTTCTTGATTTGCTGATGCTAAGAGCTGGGATTAGGTAGGGGCTCACAATTTTCAAGTGCCTACATTAAGCTTAGTAATAGTAGCCTTCTACTTTAATATTTAGTAACCCATACTCTGATAGTTACCCATACTCAAAAACAATAAAAAATAGTAACCAAGGGTTATTAATAGTTTTACAGCAAATGTAGAATAAGTTTTCTTGGATAAGGACTAAATAAACCTGTGCCCAATGCACAAAATCATGTGCATTTTAAAAAGTCTATCTTGGCTTTGAGGAGAGCAGGAGGTTACCCCGGTGTTCTGGTATAACAACTGCCACAGACCTAATGAGAGCACCTACAGTACAGGCTGCACCTGCCATGGTGGGACCCTTGGAGGAGTAGCAATTTCAGCAATGACTTTCAGTCTGCTAATCACATGAGATTAAGGTAATAAGTGCTTAAATAAATCAATTACTACCTTTACATTCCCATAAATTTTCAAGCTAAATGACTGTGTAAAATTAATCAAGCCGCTACATTTAAGCCTCATTGGATGCAGAAAAGTGGTGGACACAGGTATACGTTCTACTAAATCCTGTCCTACATTTTAAGAATTCTTTCGTATTATCACAAATGACTTCATTCTATTAAAGAGATTCATGCATTATTAATTCTTATTTATTTTTAGCGCAGATATTGTGAATCTAAAGGTCAAAGGTTATTTTTAAATAATTCAACCACAACAAGATGTGTAAAGCCACTAACAGGCTTTATAAGGGCACCAGCAAAAGTACACTTTCTGTATAAAGTTCATTTTTTCTTATTATCACAATGCATTACTGTAGATCTTAGAAACAAACTAACAAACATACAAATAAATTCATATTCAATCTTTTTGTCTTTGGTAACTAACTTGCATCATGAGTTTAATGTAATAAAAGAATTTAGTAAGCCCAAATAACAAAAAAAAACCTGTTTTCCATTGGTGCCTCAACAATTTTTGGCCTTTTTTTAAGTTGGTATATGTAAAGCAATTAATAAACAACAATGATTTTTTGATAAATGCGTTGAATGATTTTATTAAATGTTGAATCCAGCTTTTATCAACTCGCTAGTCACTCATCAAACTGGCATAGATTAGATTTGTACAGTACTGTACAGTATGACTAGCGTATGTAAGACATTGTAAGATTTAGAATTAGATCCAAGATGAAAAGTAATCTGTGACCAGTGATAATAATATGACGTACAGTATGATACAACATGAACAAAGACTACTAATACTGTTTCATTTAAACTTGCAATGCAATTCCACATTGAGACAAACATCAGGTAAAATGCCAGTCATTTTGCCCGAGAACACCTTGTTTAAAAAGCAAAATTACAAATGAAGAATGCCATTTCCAGGCATCTCGAGGCCTATTCTTAAAATCATGTTACCATGACAGGAGTTGAATCCAGGACCCTTAGTTTGGAAGGCAAGCTTCTTGACTTTCAAGCTACAGTATTTAACTCCAGCACCAGGGAGAGGGGAGGGGTCGGGGCACAGGAGTCCCCTAAGGATAGGTGCTAATCATTTTGTCCAAGAACATTGCTTAATTACAATAGTAACTATAGAGTGCCATTTCAAAGCATCTAGATGCCTATTCTTAAAATCTGCTCACCGCAGCCTCAACCCTGGTGGTGGTGCTATGGTGCCTGTGGACCAATGTCACTCAGTGACCTTTCTCATCTCATCATAAAACCTCTGCTACTACTATACCACTGTCTCATTGAGATGACAGGTTTGCACCATAAATTGAACAATTGACCAACAAGTTACGACATGAATTGATTCTTGATCAATGGCATTATTGATTACAGCACAGGGAAACTATATTAGAAAATGCATGATGAAAATTAGAGTTATACACATTAATTATCAACAAGCTTTGCATTAATTAACAATGTAATACTATTTTATTCATTGTGTATTCTATTATTTATGTACTCAACCAAAAGCTCCACTCGGCACTTCATCAATTCGGATCATACGGATTCGGCCCACTGCCAATTCGGCTATTAACAGACTTGTTGGCCCTTAACAGATTCAGCCCTTAATGGCCCA